TGAGGCAGAGACAGAGAGAGTGAGTGAGTGAAAGAGAGAGCAAGAGAGAGAGCAAGAAAGAACAAGAGAGAGCGAGAGCGAAAGTGAGAGAGAGAGAGAGAGCGAGAGCGAGAGAGAGGGAGAGAAAGTTTGAAGGGAGCTGGGGAGTTTGCGCTATCTCCTCATCCTTTTGGGTTGGATCCAGGGAGGCACAAGGCTGGCAGGCGTATCTCCCAGAGTGAGGCACTGGCGCCCTGCCTGGCCGTGCCTTGCAGCCTCCCTGCCCACCTCATTGCCCCTGAGGCTGCTGAGAACCACCATGCTCTGAGCTCTCCTGAGGCCCATCCCTTGCAAAGACTTTTCAGTGGAATTATTCCCCCCCATCATGTCATTTAACTCCAAATGTATAAATTACTACACCTTGAGGTCTGCAACCTATATGTAAAATGAGTATAGAAACATGTAATGTAAACCACATGCAGACATTATTCAAGAAAACATCTATAAAATTGTACATGACAGTAAGAGTGAAGGATTTTCATGAATCACACCATATAAAATTCATGCATTATTCCAACTTTTGCTTCCAGAATGTTTTTAATGTTAATTTTGGAAGAGCTTTAAGTAGAATTAGATCCTAGTGAATGAAGAACAGCTTAAATCAACCTATATGCTTGACCAATTACAGACATATTTGAGACCAAATCATATTCTTAGGATGTCATTTTTTTAAAAAAAGAAAACTTGTATAGTGTTAAGTGGAATCTACACTACACATATAGAGATTTTTGTGTTTACAGAGATTTATTAACACTTGTTTTCTTTAGAATTCAGGTAAGTCCCTAAAATGATTGCAGACCCCTTTCCCTGGAACGATTCCTCCCATCAATCTGGTTTCCTTTGAGAAAGAGGATTCATTTATAGCGCTTATAGGACTTTCTAAAATTCACTGGAATTCAGAAAATGATTATGTTTATGTCATACTTTATTTTGGTCTCAGAATGATTTCACTCACTATATCTTTTATTCCAAAATTCATTGCTGTAACAAGGATGAAGAGGCAATTCCTTTTTAGAAAATAATCATTTTTTCTCCATTTTAAATGTATTTTTAAAGAGAATAAAATAATCTAAAAACCATTAAAACGTATTTGTTGAAACTGTCCTTCCGATTTGATTTGAAACTGTCTCATTGCTATCTGTTTGTCAATAAAACTTTGAAAAAAAATAAAAAAAAATAAAAACCATTAAAACGATTTATTTTAGAGGTGAAGAACAGTTAGTGGCCATAACTCTTACAGGCATACGCAAATTGAACATTTGTTTACACTGCACCTTCTCCCTTTTATAATATCCTCAGTTAAATGATATATCCATCAAGTAAAATAACATACAGAAAATTATTCAAGTTATACTATTACATTAAAATTATAAAACAATATATATCCTATGTTTTATCTGTAATTTTTAAGCATTGAAAAATTATGGAGAGATAACCAGTAAGATTTTATAAATAATAGTTATTTCTGAGTCACAAATATGGATTGATTCATGCTTCAAATTTTGTGTCCTTTTGTGTTTCAGTATTTTATAAATATGTATTACTGGGAAGATAAATTGAAAGTTCTTTTCCTTGAATTATGTTGACTAGAGTTTGGCAATGTCTTCAGATTATAGAGATGGGCAATATAAGACATCCCCTGGCCCTTGAAAGAAGAGTGAGATGTGTATAGAGAAAGACAAGAATATGGCGACAGGAGTCATAGGACGAGGTGCGCTATGGTGGCAGTTGGTGAAGGGTGGCCAGGATCCCAGCACAGCGTCCCTGAGCTTTAGGGGACGTCTCCAAGGATCGCGTCATGTGTAGGGCTGACAGCAGCAATGACACATGGGTATGAGTGTGGCCGCTGCATTCCTCAATAAATTTCATTTATAGGAATGTACTCTTCCTATTACTCCCATGGAGGAAATGCAGGGGCAGACACTTCTAAGTCCCGTGTCACCCTGTAGGACAACGGGGTACTGAGCAGACCCAGCGGACATTGACTCTACACCTCTGCCGAGGCACATTACTCAGAAAACAAATTCAGGTAGCAACTAGAGCTGCCCACTAGTTAGGGAGGTTTCAGAAGTTCAGGCTGCTGCGACGAAGACCTAATCCAACAGGCTGTAGGCTTTAATTGGCAAATGATGGTTGTTGCTTGAGAAATAAAATGTTCCAAAGTTTTTGTACATTTTCAAGTAAACAGATAATCTTGAGTGTACATCTGCCATTTTGTCAACTAAAAGACCTATAGATTTGGGCTATAGCTAGAGTAACAGCAAGTGCTAGGTCTCACCACCCACATGCATTATTCAGTCCTTCATGACATCGCTGCATTAATTATCATTTTGCTTTCTGACATCACTGGTGTCTGGCTGGCTGGCTGGCAATTTATTTGTGACTGTACAACACAGTTAGCAACAGCCGCCTTAAAAATATAAAATATGTATTTCTCCTTCAGGACGCTACCATATTTCTAATCTTATTTCAGCAAGATTGTTTTGAATCTTTGATTCACACATTGTATTATTTCTTCGGTTTCGCTTGCTCTACAAGCGCTTTGATGTGTCTGTCACCTGGCTGTTCCACAGAGTGGAGCCTGCTCCAGTGAAGGTCCTGAGTGACCTTCCTGTTGTCATTTGTAAGCGGTGATTCTTGCATCCCTCACGACTTTTCATGAGTATCTTTTTCGTCAGTACCACTACCACCATCTCTTGAGATTTTTTTCCTTTGGTTTCTCTCTCTCTCTCTCTCTCTCTCTCTCTCTCTCTCTCTCTCTCTCTCTCTGTCTCTCTCTCTCTCCCTCTTTTAGGGAAGGGTCTGCAGGGTGTTCAGGGTCTCACTACTGCAGGCAAGCGCCACGACACCAGTCTCCATTGCTGTCTCAGCGCGCCCCGGGAACAAGACTGGCACGGCAGGCCCGGGGATCAAACCTCCAATCCCTGCACCTGCTTGCAGGTGTTTTAATCTGCTGAGCTATTTGGCTGGTCCCCTCAAACTTCCTTCTCAAATTTTATATTGATGAGTATTTATAAACATCTTTGTGTTCATGTTTATTTCACAAATACTACACACACACACACACACACACACACACATATATATATATTTATCTTATACAATATACTTTGAAATATTCATACACTGTGGAAAGGCTCAGCTGAGCTGATGCGTATGTGCAGCACAGCACTTTTTTTTGAGGTGATAACACTGAAAATCTATTCTGTAGGCTTGTTTTTTAACTCCTTGGAGTTTTAGCACAGTCAGTCTCTTGAGAGGATGCAGTTCATATTTTAAAGAATCAGGAATTAACTGCAAAAGTAAATTCTTTGGCAGCACCATTTTCATTCGATTATTTGGCTGGAAAAAGGGTGCATCAGCTCTTTGCTGCTGGGAAACACTAGCTACCCACGGTCATGCTCCGGAGAAGTCTGGGGTACTCCATTTAACTCTCTTATCTTTATTTTTATTTTATTTTTATGAATTGAGGATAGGTCCTACAGGCTCTACACTACAGGGTCTCGCTATGTAGATTGGACTCACAGTGATTCTCCTGTTTTCAGCCTCTCAAGCACTGGGATTATAGGTACGCGCCACCACGACCATTCTCAATCCCCATCTCAGCACACCCCAGGGCAGGTAGAACCCCAGCCACTATGCTCTGCCGAAGCAGGCACTTTAGTCCACTGAGCTATTTTGCTGGCTCCTTGTTTTTGTTTGTTTGTTTGTTTTGTTTTGTTTTGTTTTAACACTCTTATCTTTTTTTTTTTTTTTAACTTTCCATGGACTGTGTACTTTTTTTTTAATCCATTTTGGTTTCTTTTTAAAATAATTTTACTGGATAACAAATAGCAATGAGGCAGTTTCAAAGCCAAGTAGTAGGACAGTTTCAATAATTAATACATTGCATATTGTTGTCTTCTTAGTGGTTATTCATAGTACACGATGCAGACATGATATCCTGTCCACAAACACTATTAGTACAAATCTATTCATTGAATTAAGAGAAAGTAGCTGTATATCTATCCTACTTTGAATATACAGATACAAAATGGACCTTCATTTGTGTCCCTTTTTTGTTTAGTTTTGTCAGAGGAGTGTATCTTTAGGCATAAAGGAGCTAAGAGTTGCTTTCCAGTTCTCTCATTTTTCTGAAAAAGAAAACAAAGACTACCTTACCTATGAGATGGAAAGGGCTAGACGCTGGCCACATGCTGTAGTCCCATGCCATGGGCTGGGCCTCTGAATGATGCTGTTCTGCTGATTTCTAGCTGCTGTTAAGGCCCAAAGGACCTGGGCTTCAGGGATTCCAGTCTTTGCTGGATGAAACTAAGTAGTTAACTGTGCTTATCCTCAGAGTGGTAAGATGAGGTTTGCCTTCCAGAAAGATCAGTTTTGTAACACATTGATTGCATAAGGAGAGAGTAAAGTGTGGAAAACGATGTAAAAATCACAGCCCTGGTACCTCAATGGAAGAGCAAAGTTCATCAAGGAACTATGGGTAATGAACACTTAGATTTGTGGGCCAAGCACAGTGATGGCATTCACTGAGTTAGAACAAGCAGGAAGAAGGACAATGTTTTGGGCTAGGGTGGTACAGTGACTATGGGGCACTCTACTAAAATTCTCACTGGGTAGCTTAAAAACACAGCCTAGAGTCTGCTATACTACAGAGCATAAGAAAGTCCTTGGCCAAGACATGTAGTGTGCAGGCTATCCGGAGTGGTGTGGGAACAGGAACTCCTAGGTAACACCCCATCTTTACCAGGAAGTGCAAGAGCTGACTCCCATCATGCTCTAGTCCTGGAAAGTCTTAACTTCTGAAATGCTTTTGTCTAAGCAGATTAGAGCTTTGTGAGAATTCAGTGCATATGTGAGAGGACATGGAAGGCAAATGGCTTCCACAGACCAGGAGGCTATCATGAAATAAAGAAATGTCATGACACAGACCAGACAACACAAGTAATATTCTATCTAAGTCACTCAAGTTCCTTTTTTTATTTTGTTGTGTCATTCAAGCACTGTTAGCAGCCCCCAAAACACATGAGCAAAGAGGATTTTCTCCTTCAGAGTACCCCTCTGAGCAATTTCGACAGGCCAGATTGTTCTTCAATAGCCTCCTCACTCAAATAGCCTAGGTTATAGTCTGGAAACACCAGCCTGAATATCTTCGTCTGTCTCCCTGGGAATCCACCATGCATTCCAGGGTAGCTTCGCACCGCTCCTCAGATGCAGCCTTAGGATACGAGATGCCACAAGATGCTTTGGGAATGGACAAAGAGGCTGAGACTGCTCCTGGTGATTCATGTTAGGATGGGGCGTACCTCTTCCTAGACTTAACCTGAGGATGGCTTCCTGCCAGTCCCTCCTATGGGTTCTCACTTGAGGAATTCATCATTACAATTCAGTAGTAGGTGATCATGTTTCCTTCCTCTGTGTCAGCGAAAACACAGGAGAGCATCTTAGCTTTTCAGAGTTGAAAAATCCTGGTTTACCCCAAGGAAAATCTGAGAGCAACCTCTTCATGAAATTCTCCTCACTTCTGCTGCCTTTGCTTTATATTCTTGGGGTGCAAAAACTTGTAGGTACAAAGTCAAAGACAAGGCAAATTGCCAAATGTATCCTTGAGCATGAACAGAGAGAGGCTCTGTGCAAATCTGTAAATGAGATTAAATCAGATTTACATCCTTACTCAATTTGTCAATGCTAGTTGATCCTTTGCTCTGCTTCCCCTAGATTCTTAGGACAGCCTAGAACACTAGCACCTGATGTAATCTTCCCTTTATTATCTTGGGCAGCTCTGTACATTTTTTCACAAAACAAGCAAGTTGTCTGCTGAAGGAGTCAGTGGATGATCCACTTGGCCATCTGGCTAGCTGTGGCTTCCAAACATAATGTTCCTCTAGTTGCAAATATGTAACTGTAGTCCACAGGTAATTTTCTTCTCCAAACTCAGTATTTTTACACCTTTGTCCTTAACTAAAACCTCAGTGAAACCCATGGAAAGTAAACTTTTCAAGCATAAGCACCTTCTATCCTTACACTAACGTGGGCTCCACAAGTGGGGGACCTTCAGCCATGAAATAACATTTCTCACTTGCGAACAAGCAGGAGGTGGGGGTGCTGGAAGACTGGGCCTGGTAGACTGGGCCTGGCGCACCATGAGTGTAGTGTCCTCCTGCCCTTCCCATGTTCCTTCTTTGCATAAAGAGGTGCATTTCCGTAACACTACAGACACAGCTGGGGCTGACTACACCTTTCACAATTTCTGTCAGCCCAGCCCAGAGCATTATGTGTCCTCAACCAAGGAGAGGCTTAATACAAATTCCTTCGAACATAATTCAGCATTATTTAAATTGGTGAAGCAGAATCATAACTAGTTAAAGTTCAAACTTTAAGTGAATATAAAATGAAATAGCAAGGGCCTGAGAATCTATCATTTTCCTGTTGCTGGAGTAGGGTTGGTGATAAGACACTCAGTCTAAAGCTTTATATGATTGCCTCCTCCTTTTCATACGTGAGAGAGGGATCCAGCCCATGTTCTCCCTTTTGGTTGACCAAAAAAGTTATGCCTCCCTCTGCTCCTTATCATGCAGAAATGTTTGAGCTTTCAGCCTTGCAGCACTCCCTAACCAAGAGCTCAGGTTGTGCTGAATGAAGATGCAGAGTCCCAGGGGGGTCCCAGGAGGTGCTCTGCTCTTGGGAAAAGTCTAGGCTGTGCCTCCCTGCGCTCAGGGGACTGTGGCCCCGGCCCTGCTGCCCATCCTGGCGGAGGTGTGCGCCCTGCACCAGCTGCTGATCTGGGCCTGCCAGGTGCGGTGGGCCCACCTGCCCCTGGGCGTCCTTCTGATTCACAGCCTGGGGCAGGTGGAGCTGCGGAGCTGCAGAGCTGGGAGCACAGGTGCGGCCCTGGGACCGGGGGCCTGCAGGACCCGGAGCAGGCGCTGCGAACTCCTCCCGAGCGGCGCGGCGGGGGCCAAGCTTCCTCCTGGACACTCCCTCCGGGGTCTGGTGTGGGAGTGGGAGTCGGTTTGGTCTGTCCAGTGAGACCTTAATTCTCATATCTGCGGAATAGGGTGGGGAAGTGGTTGATCACACAGTCAGCTAATTATACATCTTGTACAGTTAGCATTTCTGAGAACATGCAGTTAAATAAAGATTTAATTGTATCTGCTCAACAATCTCCAAACTTTATCTTTGGAAAGTATTTCTTTCCTGGAAAAAGTACTGTATCGCATATCCAATTTGTAAACAATACTTACCATCCAATAAAAGTTTTGCCATGTTGCTTATCAGAAAAACACTTTTATGATGTTATTAGATGAATAAGGATTTTATTTGTAAGGAGCAAGTTTTAAATTTGAGAACCAGACTGGAGCCAGGCCTCACCATCCAGGGAACCTACACACACCTAAGAAATACGAACTCTGGGGCCGGGGAGATGGCTCAGTACAATAAGAGCTTGCCTGGCAAGCACAAGGGCCGTTCAATCCCAAGTTCCAACAAAAAAAGAAAAAAGAAAAAAAGAAAGAAAGAAAGAAAAAGAAAGAAAGAAAGAAAGAAAGAAAGAAAGAAAGAAAGAAGAAAGAAAAAGAA